CTATCCAAGCTTTGAACTGTACAATTTTGCTACAGCTGTTTTCACTTTTGGGGATCAACTATTTTCTTTTCTATTAAGGTATTAGTAGCCACTGATAATGAAAGCCAGGGCCCACCAGAAATAGGCCAGAGGAAATTTCCTGACTCACCAGCACTGAGGATGTGTGTCGTGTGACCTCAGAGCCACGTGAGTGACCAGCTTTTCCACACAGCACACCTTTTACATGTGAGTGAGGACCATCCCCTTCAGGAGCATCTGTAGGGAAACCTGTGAGCTCACTCCAGTGTGCGACTGGCCAGAAAGCATTTTGGGTTTACCTCCCTGGGGAGAAAGTTCTTTTGAACTTCCTTAGTGGTGGCAAAGTCTGTCCTTGGTGGATGCATTTGATTTTTGGAAATGATACAATGTATTCATCTGTTGTTCTTGTCTACCCAGAAACCTCTTTCTCCTAACTTCTGGTAGGAGAGATTACTTTTTCCTGTTGTTCATTCTGTTTCTGGAGACTTTAAAGGAGTAAATAGTTTTAAATGGTAACTGCTCCCACATTCTGCTTGGGCACCCACTCCTCTACTGCCAGGTCTAAGGTGTTTGGTGAGCTGAGCTGATTGCCACTTCCAGGGGAACGGGCATGTGACTTGGGCATAGACACAGCCATTGACCCCGGGACAGACATACAACTAAACCACCCTAATAGCACCTCAGTTCTGGAAGTTGGGGTTGAATTTTTGGGAGGAGAATTTCTCACTTTGCTGTGGTATAAGCATGAAGCTGCTACAGGGTGGGGCCCACTCAGAGATGGGGCCAGAAGAAAGAAGCAAATCTGAGATATGGGTACAGATGCACAGGCATGCATGCTTTTCTGTCTTACAGCGGGAGAAACCAAGTCCTGACTAGGGCTCCTAGGTCTAGGTCTGAGCAAACACTATCCTGGAACTCTTGCATCCACAGCCAGGGAAGTCCTTCTTTGCCTGGTAGGTACAATTTGGGCCTCTGTCCTGAAACCCAGCTGACTGGCCCAGCAGAGCAGTGTGGGCCAGGACGCTTGTCACTCAGAGAGGAAGAAAGGCACCGAGATGTCCATGACAACTTCTGTCCCTTTGCTCCTGTGGACTCAGAGGCTGTTCTGCGGGAAGAATTACTGATGGGGATGTATTTGGCAAAGACAATGCTCTTGAGCATGAGCCAAACAAGTTATTAATTTATCAAGATGGTTAATTTTTGAAGAAGACAAGAAATGATTGAGATCATGAGTTCTAGTCTTTGTGAAAACAAAATTCTGTCTTCCCTCTGTGGGTGCCCATTCTGTGGAGCATGAGACACAGGAATTTCTATGTAGGGGGCAGGACAGTGTGGTCAGCACTAAGAGTGATTCTATCACAGAATTGGGAGAGGCAGAAGGTGGGGAGGGGTTGGCCCTGTCACCTGCCCTAAATCTGGTTTTCTCTGCAGCATTTTCGTCATTTGAAGAGAGTCCTCCTCATGTCAGCTTTTTTGGTCTTTCTTAGGATGAAAAATCCAGAATAATCTGCCATGGCTTTGCAAGGTCTGTGACCCTTTTAACCAAGGAAAGGCCAGTGCAGGGCATGTGGCTGGCAGTCCTCATCATTCCCTTGGTGCACACCCTCCCTGCTCCTGTCTCTGCCTCTCTCTGCATCTGCCCCAGTACCAGCCAGCTTCTTCTGTCTTCAGGCAGCTCCCTGTGCTGACTCACATTCCTGCCTCCTCATCCCTTCTGCCTGTGTAGACTCTCTAACTTCAGCTCTCGAATTCTGCAGGCTTGGCCCTTCCATGTTTCTTATTCACCTTCCTGAGGATAACAGACTAACCATCCAGTTTGTAGTTCTGAGTTGGCTGGCAGGTGATCAGAATGGGACAACAACCCGGGGAGTCATATGGGATACCAGAGAAGAAGTAGATCTCAGGGTATGGGTCAGCAGGGAGCTCAGACAAATGTTGATTCTGGAGCCCCACTCTCAAATTGGATTTCATCTGTCTGGGGACATTCTGGATATGTAGGATTTTTAAACCTTTTTTGGGTTTTTCTAATGTGTAGCCAAAATTGGAAACCACTGTTGTAGGGAAAGGGATTTTCTGGCTAAAAACAATGTTAATGTTAACTGTTTATGGCAGACACTGTGGAAGGAATCTTGATATCTATGTTTCTGCAAAGCAAAAGAAACAAAAAGTCAATGACATGTAAGAAGTAATACGTGTGGACGTAGTCAAGGCCAATAAAAATATTCTTAATCTGGCTTCTTTTGTCCTTTAGCTAAAAAGAAAAGCATGGCAAGGTGAAACTCAGAATTCTCCAAAGTATCTCTGCTGGAGATAGAGCCAACCACAGCAATACTTCTCACTTCTAAAGCTTTCTCAGAAGGATCAGAAGTGTTAAACTTGAATGCTTTCGATTCTCTTTTTTTCTGAGACCTGTCTAATCAGATTCCCAGTTGATATAGGTACAGCATTTCAGGAATATCTATGGTTTGATTATTTTCCTTTTCTATAGATAGATGAATAAATGTAATAGTAAAAATATGGGGGGACTATCACTTTTGAACAAATGGACAAATTCTGAATGTTAGCATTACAATCAGTTTGTTAAATCTGCTATTTCAAATCCATTCACCTAAGTTTAGTGACTAGTCTGTTCTAAACTGCTTTTCTCATAATAATATGGTATATTTGAATTTTGTGAAAATTAAACCATCTCTTGTTAAATACAGTGCAGTTCTACATTTTAGGATGATGCATTTGTTGTAAGCTACATGGGCTGACATTGGCTCTCTGATGTAAAATTCAAGACTGTGTGCTCAAAAGTTAGAGATCTGAACAAGAATCAAGGACCCCTAGGGCAGTCATGGGCTTTGCAGGGTCCATATATTCTGAAACTATGCAATTTTGAATGTATGTGTTTTATTCTATTTTCCTAAAAGATGGTCCACAGCTTTTGCTTACAGCCAAAAATGGTTAGAACTCCGAGCTCCACATGTTCCACAGAGAATCCTGCAGTCTGGCCCCTCTTACCACTGTGTGTTATTGAGAACAAGAGATTAAAAATGGGGAGAAAAAAATCTGCTTTTTTCTCTCCTGGGCCACAACTACAGATGTTTATGTGATCTACCAACAACCCTCCTGTCTCAAAGTTGATTTGCAACTAAATGAACATCAAAAGGACCAGCAAAAATTCTGACTTTTGTTTCTTCTGCTGAACTGTTCTATTTACAGAGCAGAAGTGGCTTTAACTGTAGGGCAGAAAGTTCATGCTAACTGTTCCATTAGATCCCTGTCCCTGCATCTGGTTGGATGGTGTTAGCGGGAGCAGGTCATCGTCAGAGGCCATCAGTGCAGCACGGGGGCACCCAGCTTTACTCATACTCAACATGGGAATTGTGGCTTTTTTGAAATGATAACATAAAGAGTAATGACTTTGTGAAAAAATTACTTTAAATATAAAGTTTCTTAAGTTTTAAAATTTGTTCAACATAAGAAAGTTAATTCTAATTCCTTTTCAGGAATAAAAGGGAATAAAATTATTTTCTAGGTGACAGCCTCATTATAGGAAAGACAGTGACTTTTGTTAAAATAATATCTTAAAATAAAATGTATCTAATGTTACATACCTTTTCAAGATATTAAAGTAGGATAATTGTGTAGATGAATTTTCCCTTGATGTGAAAAATATGATATGTGATAATTTTTATTATTGAGGGTAATTCCAATGTACAGTAGTTTTTATGGGGATTTAGGGTGTGTCAATTACCTTTTCACATTTTTAGATATGAAGTCAAAACCTCGTATTTTATACACTTTAATTATAATGGTTTACTTTCAGGAAAGGTTGCCTGCATTTTCATAAACAAGAAGAAAAAGAAACTAAGTAGAATTGAGAAAAAATGTTTTCTTTAATTTGAATTATTGGGCTAAATGCAAAATAATTCTTTGCATGTTATAGATATGGAAATACCTATGAGCATTTAAAAATGACATTAATGCCATTCTTACATTTGAGTTGCCAAGAACTATCTAAAAATCAATTTGTATTTGCTTTTGATTTTCTAATAAAAATCAAAGAGATGGGTCAGAGATGCAATGTGTTACCCTTCCTTTAAAGAAGGTTCCAGTGACTTGATAACGACAGCACATTTCAGGTGCCAGTTGCTTATATTTTTGAACAAAAACAAGGAGAAAAGTTTCCTTTTCCCTAATGACTCTTAAACTAATCAGATGTGTACATTCTTTGTTACATGTTTATCAATTTTTCAAAATGTTTTAACCTTTAAAATGCCTTTAATTTTCCCCATTATAGACATGTTTGCAGTGAGAAAAGGAGTTACCTGTTTGCAAATTAAAAGTGAATGTGATTGATTGCAAGACATAAAAATTGGATATTAATTCTTTTTTAGGAACAAGAATGTGACTATTATTCTAGATGACTTTTACCCCCATATATGGAAGACTGTGGGCTTTAAAAATTATCATTAAAATGGCATTTTAAGCCACATTATCTAGTATTTCATACTATTATCACTTCCAGCTCTTTGATAGCGAGATGTCCAGATAAAATTCCTACTATAGCATTGGGTTATACCTATTTGGGTGTAAGCTATTGCTTAGCTTACAAAGCTTAGGAAGAGACTCTGGCCCTTGCATAATTTCAAAAGAATTCATATTGTTCATCTGCTCTCAAGCGTCTTAAACACTGTCCTGACACTCCCTGGTTCTAGCTGCTGTTCCTTTGGGGGACGCTACATTGGGCCTGTCCTTTGAAATGGCATATGGATGTGTGTAATCTAGCAAAACACCTGGCACCAGGCTTTAGGAGGAAGCCAGGCCTGGAACATATTTTTCTAACAATCCTTTCTCTATCCTTTCATCCTGAGGTGGAGCCATTGAGAGTGTGATAGAGAAAAATGCACTGAGTGAGGTGCTGGGCCTTGCATAGTCCTTAGCTCCCTCTCTGAAGGCAGGTAGAGTGTCAGGGCACCTCTGGCAATGGCTGCAGGTGCTGAAGCCTGTGAAGACCTTTCACTGTGCTCCCCAACATCCAGCTTCTACTACTGCTCAGGTCCCCGGGCCTGAACTCACTAGTGGTGGCCACACAGGGCCGTGAGGCCCAGCTCATCACTGGGTGAGGGACTGTCAGGGTCCCTGTAGATCTGAGTCAGAGCAAGGCTCAGGATTTCTTTCTTTTCTTTGTAAAACCGTAGTTCTTGTCCTGCTCTCCTGGCTTCTTCCAGCTGCCTCAGGGCCATTCGTAGCTCTTGAGAGAGGATTCCCGGCATCTCCCTCTCCCTCGCGATCCAGTCCAGGGCCATGTGGCTGCGCATCTTTTCATCCAGGGAATACTGGGAATAGTAGGAGATGACTTCCTGGGCCAAGATATGACGTCCAGTGTCAGGGGAGCAGTCTGACCGCGGTGCACAACCCCCCACACACACCCACCACGGCTTCAGCAACAACCATGCCTTTCTGATGTCCAAAAATTGAAACCAAACCCACGGGATCACATCTTGTTTCTTTGGGACACAGAGTCTCACCCTGTTACCCTGGGTAGAGTGTTGTGGAGTCATAGCTTATAGCTCACAGCTAGCTCAAACTGCTAAGCTCAAGGGATCCTCCCTCCTCCATCTCCCAGAGTCCTCGGATTATAAGAATACTTCTGGAAAGGAAATAAAAGGCTAAGCTTGTCCAGCAAAGTGAATCACTCCAGATGGAGTCAAAACACACCACCCAGAAAGACTCAATAATGCTCACAAAAGAAAGCTCCACCATTGCTAGAAAATATAAGCACTCTGTGAAAACACAGTCCTGTGATAATTGGTCTGATTTCTGTCCTCCTGCCCAGTGATATCGCCTCTGACAAGATAGAAACACAGCTACACAGAGGCATTCAGGCAGAATGAAGTCTTCTTGCATGTATTGCCAGAAAGCAGGTAGCTTTTAGTCAAGGAGACCTCAGAATTAGACTTAGAAACCAGAAGAGTCAACTGTGCTGTTAGCACAGGAAAATGACGGTCCAAAGGTTTCAGAGAAACCACAGAGAGAGCTGTGGAATGTGTTGTGGAAAGATGTCTTCAGCCCCATGTTTACTGCACCACCATTCACAACAGCAAAGATGTGGAATCACCCTAAGCATCCATCATTGGGAGTGGATAAGAGAAGGTACTGCCCATAGGCAGCAGAAGACTGGCCGTTATGAAGAATGAAATCGTATCCTTTGCAGCATCATGAACAGAGCTGGAGGAGATTATGTTACATAAAGAATATGGGCACAGAAAGACAGATGTCCCATGTTCTCAGTCACATGTGGGAGTGAAGTGATCTGTCATGAAGGTGGAGAGTGGAATGATGGACAACAGGGCTGGGAAGGGTGTGGGGGATGAAGACAGATTGGTTCGTGGGTACAAACATAGCACTGGATAGAAGGGAGAAGTTCTAATGTTCCATATCAGAAGAGGGTGACTATATGTAGCAATGATGACTATACGTTTCAAAACCTAAGATGTTACCAACACACAGACATGATAACTACTGGAGGTAGTGGAGCCTATGCACGTAACAGAAGATCATGTGTACTCCATAAATATGGGCAAATGTTATGTGTCAATAAAAATGAAAGGTAAAAGTATCACAGGAATGGAAGAAAAAGTATTCAATGTACACACATCTATTATGAAATTAATTTAAACCTTTTTATATGAAAGCTATAACCTAATAACAACTTAAGGATACGAGGAGGGGGAAGGGAGGGGGGAGAAGGTGGAGGAAGAGGGATTCGAGGGTTCACTTCTATGGTTAATCTTACAAGGGTACAAGTGAATCTTTCTATGAGTAGAATATAAATGTTTTAACACAATAACTAAGAAAGTTACATGAAGGCTATGTTAACCAGTTTGAAGGAAGTGTCTTAGATTGAGTGTGAAAACACTACACTGTACCCCCAAAGTGCATCAATGTACACAGTCACCATTCAATAAAAAAAAAAAAAAATGAAAGGTAAAAAGGGAAATGTGCTATGGAATGTAGACATCATCCCTGGGGTGTCATAACAATATATTCATTGTACTTCATTGTCTCTTACTTTTGCAAACAGTTAAAAATTAGTCACTACCTGCCAATTCTTGTATGTAAAATTTGCTGATACATAGCAATTCCATATATAAGTTTGATTGTATGAAGTAGATACATTGCTTATTTTATTTTCAAGAACATATGGTATTTATTTATGACCTTAACAAATTAAAAACAATCATGGAAAAGTGTTTATAGCCAACCCAGCATATTTCAAAGGCCTTTTAGAAAATCAAAGGAAAAGAAAAAAATATCCAAAGCCATTGCTTGCTACCCATTTCTTTCCCATCTTTGACATTTTGAAAGCTAGAGTTCATAAGCAAAGAACAGCAAACAACTCTCTGGGCTTTGGTTTGTGAAGAACTCCTTACGTACGCCTTCATCTTGGTGATTAAGAAAAGCTTTGCTCCCCTACAAATTCCTGTTAGGAAATTCTCAACAATAAACTTCTGTCTTTCAAATTCTAACAGTGGGTAAAAAGAAGAATAAGTCTTGGAGGGTAGCAGGTGGAGCCATTAAATTCACAGGAGGGACTTACACTGCCCACTTTAAAGGGGGGAGGTGCAGCTCGTGAGTATCAAACAGTGAGACCCTAACCTCTGAAAAATAAAGAAGAAACTCTATTTTAGAAGAAACCAAAAACTTGGGGTGATTAAATGCCAATTCGTCAACCCATGTCAATCATTTCGTCCACTGAGGACCAAGAGTGGGGCCGAGAAATCTCCTACTACCACCACCACCACGTTCCAAAGCAGGGCATCCTCAAGCTTCTGCATCAGAAGGTGGTTGAGAGCACAGATTCTAAGCAGGCAGGGGACTGTGTAGAGTCAATTCAGCATTTTACTTAGAAACTAAGTCTTTCCTATAATATTTTAATTCTGTGTTCAGGGCTGTCTAACCAGCCCTGTGCCCAGCCAACATTCTTTTCCATGTGTACATTTGGGTTGTCTCTGACTCAACCGGAGTGTTGTATGTATTTCTTCGCATGTCTTCTGCTCTTAATAAATAAGATACCAAATTAAGACACCTAGAAGGGCCATCTGTCAGTCATGCAGTATGAACCTGGTCTTAATCAGAAAGTCTTACCTGTCGGGAACACTTTGTCTCACGAAGAGCCTTTAGACTTCCATTCCAGTGCAGTAGTTGGAAAATGGTCATCAGCTCCTACAAAACCCAGACACCTGTCAGTGGTCTCTACGAAGAAACGTACATCAGGAAGAGCTGAGCAGAGCACAACTCTGATACCCAAATAAATCAGGAAAAAAAATACACAACATTGTCAGAACATTTGGGGCTTTCAAAGACCAGTGTCCCCAGGCGTCTAGAACATCTTTCTTCGTTCCCTTGCAACTATTTGGTTTGAAAAAAATAGAAGATCCCTATGTAATCTATACTTGTAAATGCCTAGAAGAATTCCAGCAAGAGGCAGAAGGATCTGGTAATGCCAATGTCTTTGGGGAGGGAAGAGAGGTGCCGGGGACAGGGCAGGAGGAGTCTTCCCGTGACATTCTTTCACTAACATTTTGAGTTTTGAATCATACGACTATATGATATATTAAAACATTTAAATTTTAAAACTTTAAACCAAAAATAAATATATTAGGAGGTCATTGGTTTGGATTGAGTTTCCACACCAGACCTAACAACCCAAATAAGATGCAACCGCTGAGGCTGAGGCTGAGGCTGCGGTTGAGGCTGACACTCACCCTCACAGTCACACTCACGCTCACCCTGCTGCTGCAGGTCAAAGCCTGTCAGAGCCAGGGAGGGACCCAAAAGCCAAACCCCACACAGGACAGTCTCAGGCAGTGTGATAACCTTTACAACCTTTACGGAAATAACCAACCCATCTTAGTTCTCTGTTCCTGCTCTCCGCAGCCCTTTCTGCCTAGAAAGCCACCTCCCTCTGCTCAGTGCATTAGAACTGGCTCTGTTTTAGGGAATGAGGTGTTGTTGGTCTCAGAACTGCAAATAAACCCCAGCTACAACTTTAAACTAAACTTGTAATTTTGTCTTTTGACAATATAAAACGTATAATAAACAAACTACAGAAACTGCAAAACGCTCCTCAACTTATAAATTCAGTCAAGAAAAATGCTTTAAAATATGGGTAACAACATTATATTGACATTAAAGCTGCTCAGAGCTTCTGCCTCCAACATCTGGCTCAGTGCAGCCCATTACCTAGGGCAGAAGAGCTGTATAAATGCACTGAAGATTTTTATCTTCCTTACGTGGTTATAACAGGCAGTTTTCCACCAAAGTTATCTACATCTCATTTATAGACTTTTTCTTTTTGTCAGAAAGACATCTATTTTGGGTTTATAGCATACAGCATAGCTATGTACTTATTGAAAACAAACTTGATACAGTTAAGGGATTCCCGGTCTTGAAAATAGATATAAAAACTTAACATTTTACACAGATGTTCTGCTGCCTATTCAAAAAAGCTGCCTTTTGTTAACTTTTGTTAAAGATAGTTTTACTTCTGCTTTGCTCAGGAAAAGTTACCCATTATGAAAATCAGGACAGTCCTAGTCAGATTTAGGTATTTAAAATGACTGTGTACATTTTAAAGCTATTAGATTGTCGGAAGAGCAAATGGCAGTTAGTGCTCATGTCTAAAACTGCATTAGAATTCAAGGCTTTCTTGCATTTTTTTCTGAGACCCAGTTCGGCATTTTGTCTAAGTCCAGCTGCTCCGTCAGCATTCTGAGAGCCACAGAGACCTCCTGAAGGGCAGAACCATTGCTCTGTTAACTAAAATGCATCTGAGCACAGCCAGGTCTCCCCAGATGGAGAAATGGAGCCCCTGCCATCTACTCCAGCCAGGTCCTACCCAGAGAAGCTGCCCTCCTCACTGCCCATCTCCCCATCTTCTGCCCTGCCAAGATTTTTGCTGTACCTCATAACTATGCTACTTTGGAAGAGGGAAAGTGCTTTGTTGTAGAAGCCAAATCCTGTCTAATCTGGCTTTCCCTGCTGGTCTCCAAGTCTTCCCATTAGGGCAGCCCCAAGGCTGAGGACGGGCATTTGCTGTGCTCCCTACCTGCCTCCTGAACCTGCTGAATACTTTGCAGCCATAAAAATAAAAGGGAATGCTCTTTACAGACTTTTCTTTTTGTTTGTTTGTTGTTGTTGTTTTGGAGACAGGGTCTCACTTTGTCACCCTGGCTAGAGTGCCGTGGTATGATAGTTCACAGCAACCTCAAACTCCTGGGCTCAAGCTATCCTCTTCTCTTGGCCTCCTGAGTAGCTGGAACTATAGGCACCTGCCACAATGTCTGGCTAATTTTTTCTATTGTTAGTAGAGACAGGTCTCACTCTTTTTTTTTTTTTTTTTTTTTTGAGACAGAGTCTCACCTCTTTGCCCTTGGTAGAGTGCCATGGCATCATAACTCACAGCAACCTCAAACTCTCAGGCTTGAGAGATTCCCTTGCCTCAGCCTCCCAAATAGCTGGGACTACAGGTGCCCAACACAATGCCTGGCTAATTTTTAGAGACAGGGCCTCTCTCTTGCTTGAGCTGGTCTCAAACTTTTTAAGCTCAGGTGATCCACCTGCCTCAGCCTCCCAAGTGCTAGGATTATAGGTGTGAGCCACCATGCCCTGCTGGGGTCTCACTCTTGCTCAAGCTGATCTTGAACTCCTGAGCTCAGGCAATCCACTTGCCTCAGCCTCCCAGAGTGCCCAGTGGGATTTCCAGAGTGAGCTACTGTGCCGGCAGCTCTTTATGTTTTGGTATGGAATAGTCTCCATGATGGAACAGGGAGCCAATATTTGCAAATAAAACATTTCTTTTGGTTTCATGTTTTAAAAGAATCAACTTGATGTGTACATATATCCATGTCTTATAATAAAAAGAGAAAAATACCATCTCACTCCTCCATCTGATCCCTCCTCTAGCACCAAGTCAACTTTATGTGAAGTTGACATCTCAGAAACATACACTGGATTGAATGTGTGGCTTCCACTGTGGCTTCCATCTGGGCATTGTCCCTACATCCTACTGGCCCAGCTTGAGAAACAGACCATTGCTAACAGGCCCCTTAAACCATCCTCTCATAACTATGGCCTTACAAATGAGGTTTCTGGGTCCTCATTCTTATCTGCACATGAACTTCCTCCCTTTCAGACAAACTGCTGTCATTCCTACAAATCCCTTAAGACTTTAGAATCCACAGTTCTCCTGTGAACAGAACCAGAAACCTTTCTCATGTCCCTTGACAATCTTCTTGCCTCAAAAATTTCCTCAAAGAGACTTGAACTATTCTTGCCTCTGGGATGGGCTCCTCCTCACTCTTGTTCATCTGCATTTCTGTCTCATCACCAGGTAGTTCTCTGGGGAAGCTTCCCTCCTTTCCACCTTCTTCCATTATATCCCGATCTAGTGTTTGTCCACCTCTGCAGAGATGCCATTCTCGTCATCATTATATAAAGCACACTAAATATTTCCACATTTTCTCTGTCTCTCTTCTTTATATCCCCTCATAAGACCACATTCACCATCTTGAAATCTTCCTGAAACTGTCTGAGTTCTGGGCCAGCCCTGGAAAGCCTCTGCCCTGTCCTAGGAGACCCTGCATCACTGCAGACCAGCAAAGAGGGGCCTGGGCTTCTGTGAGGAATCCTAGCTCCCTGGTTGGTCGCTGCCTGGTTTCACCATCTCACTGTCTCTGTGAAGCAGGGGTGCCATCTGCTCCCGGACATTCCCGCTCCTCCCCATGTCTTGTGTGTGTGTATGTTACGAGGGCTAATCTGGCATGCAGGGAGGCCTAGCTAGACAGAAAAGCAAGACACTGACTAGGGGTGAGGCAAGTGAGGCAAGATTTAAAGGAGGGGAGAGAGTCACATATGGTTGGAAACTTTTATTTAAAATTTTGATTTTTTTATTATATGTACGATGAGTTTTTCTAATATTGCACTGTAATCTTTTTTAATTGTTTTGGGATTTATTGAGGGTACAAAGAATTATGCACTACAGTATTATTCATCTTGATTACTGAGATTTTTGGTTCCCCTTTTAATGTTGTGCTCAAGATAAAAGCCTCAGTCTCCTAACCTGGTCTGCCCCCTTCTTGTGGGTCTGTCCCAGAGACAAGCCTGGCTTTAGGAACCTGGGGTCTATGAAGCTGCACAGTGCCTGTGCCTGGCTTAATGCTCTGCTATCCTGAAATTCTCAATAATTTTTGGACAAGGGTCCCTGCATTTTTCTTTTGCACTGGGCCCTGCAAATTCTGTAGGTGGTCCTGAACAGTAAAGTGAGTTTAAAGCAAATTAAATAGGCAGTGTGCTCAGTTCCCTGAAGACTTGTGGCAGCTGGGCCCTGACCACATAGGGCTACCCATCATCCTCCCTGTTAGGAGCAAGTTCAAGGTTTCAGCTACGACGTGGGGAGAAAATGCTCACTGTGTCTATGTGGAAACTAGCTTGGCTCTGTGATTCATCAGAAATAAGAAAAACAAACACTGTAAATGAAGAACTTGAAAAACAGGTGGGCACCATCTCCTCACCCAAGAGAATGGATTTAAGAGGAAATTTGTTTATGGGATGAGGTTTTAAAGGGCAACCTGAAGAATTTAGCAAAGATGTAAATAAACAAGTCTTCCTTGGATTGCATTAGGCTTCAGATAAATATATTAACCAGCTCAGTCCAAGTCTGCCTAGAGCTTGACCTTGACAAGACCCAGTGACTGGTGCTGCCTAGCCCTCCCCACTGCAGGCTATGCGGAGGCAAAGCCCACAACAGGCTCCTGTCTCCCTCCCTGGAGGGTGAGCAGGGCCTATCAGGTTTCCTCTGAGCGCTGCTGCAGGATGGCTCTGGAAGCCCAGGGCAGTCTTCAAACACCAGTCTTATTTTTATGTGGTATGGCCAGGCCTCTGCAGCCAGACACACACATGCACTGCCCGTCAGGGTGCTGAATCTCCCGGTGTGGGCTCGGAAACAGGCCTGTGGTCAGCATGCATTATGTGCAGATACCAGCTGGTGCATTTTACTCGGGCCACCAAGGAATGTGTGTGTGTGGGGGGGTGGGCAGGCAGCTTGGGGCTGAGCTGGCAGGAGAGGGGTGTGCTGGGCTGCCTGTTCCTACAGGGAAGGATTATATTTTCCCTGCATTTCTGTCTTCCTCTTCCTCTGCCCTATCCTGTCCCCAGATTCCTTTCTGAGAATTTATGAAGCATTTACACAGTAGGACTCAAATTATGGTTTCATGTATTTAAACTCCTAACTGCACAGACCACACAGACACACAGCGGGAGCAGTCAGAATGCCCTGTGAGGAGGCTGAGTAGGGCCTTTCACAGAGGTGGAAGGAATGTTAAGAATTCTTCTTTTTTAAAATCTCACCTTCTGCATATTTGGCTGAGTACCCTAACCACATTCACAATCATTCTTGACTTTTCTGCAAATAGCTACTAAATTACATATAAGCTATTATATCCTGGGTGAGCAAGGCTTATTCCATAATAAAAAAAAATAATAATATAATAATACTCTTTTAATGGGAGCAGACATTAAAATAAGGAGACTCCTGCTCGGGACAAGCATTTTGTTAGATTGCTTTACAAATGTCACATTATTTAAGTCCCGTGAAAATTTTATGGAATGGGCATTATCATCCCACCTTATAGATGAGAAAACTGCGTCTCAGAATGGGCAAGCCCTGTTCACAGGCTCACACACAGGTCTGTGCGAGTTTTGAAAGAACATCATTTTGTTTTGTTCTCTGTTTAGTTTCAGATTGCTACTTTTCAAATGGGTCTTTTATAGATCCCTCCTTTAACTCTACAGCAGGGCTCTGGGCTACCTTGGCAGGGGAGGTCCCCAGTAGGTCAGACATCTTGTAGAGGGAACCCGCCCAGGGGCCTTCAGAAAATGCTGGGTTAACAGCTGCAACTTTCCAGGGGCATTTGCCACGTGCAGGCACCTTGCGACCCCTGCATCCTGTTGGACCCTTGAGAGGGGGTGGTGAAGAAGGTGCTATGACTTTCCCTGACTTACACGCAAAGGAACAGGGGCAGCCCTCCCCAGAACCTGGGCCAGAACCGCAGAGATGACCAGCGCCCTGTCCAGCCCAGAGCACAAGCTTGAGGGACACTTAATTGCTTCCCAGCCAAGGCAGGCTGCCTCAAAGGTCAGTGAGACCATACCCCCTAAGATGGAAATCGAATGACTCAGGTTTAGGGTGAGAAGGGAAGGAGCATTTTTTTGCTTCAGTTATACAGGAAAGTGGTAAAGAAAAATATTGATTAAAAAAACAAACAGGCAAGAGGGACATATCTACCTGCAAAATGGCTGCCAATGTGGGAAGGAGGAGCGGATGACACCAAATAAGGTATTGGGACATTGCTGGCTTTAGGGCTTAGCTGCAACATTTTTGTAAATTATTTTATGATGGTCATTTTTGTCCATGAAATTTTCTATCTCTGCTACTTGGAATATCATTATTTCTTGGAATTTAACCTAAGAAAATAGGGTTTCTGGGGATAAAGCCTCTTCATTATTATATAGCATATTGATTTCTACCAGCACTACATGAATATGGGTGTTTAAGTGCATTCAAGTTTAATTTTAAAAAGGAAAATACATTTCATATCCAACACTCCTGAAGTGTCTTCTGCCTAGCCCAATACAGACTGATAGTCAGGGATGTAAGCTCAGGGACTAGACTTCTTGACCTGAGGCCTGGCTCTGCCTTGAAGCTGCAGCACACACCCTTTGGTGATGGCATGTACCCACCCCGCATGTGGGTTGTGGTTGTTGTGAGGGCTGAGTTATGATGGCTTTGTTAGCTATAACTGCTGGTCTAGACAGAGGGAGCACCCAGTGAATGTTGGCTGGGCACTAACTCCGGCTGGCCCAGCAGTTATGTGTTATGAATATTGTTATTAATGTAATTATTACTTTGTGAATAACAGGTCATTGAGTTCCTCAGATCTATTAGTAGCTGTCACCAGAGGATGAAAAAGGGGAATACATTTTTTGATTTTGTTGGTGATAAAAGATGGCAGATTTTGTTTAATAGAAATATGGGTGTTTCTATTAAGTATGACCCAAGGAAAATGGTGGTTAATATATACTTTACCTGTAAGTTCTGCAAAGTAAGCACCAGATGGACACAGTGTACACTTCAAACTGTTTGAATTGGTTTAAGGAGGAACCTGGTGCTGGAAATCTGGTAAAATGCTATAGAGTCAGAAGACTGAGGTATTCCAAACTGTTTCTTAGACTTTGTGTTCCAAACTGTTTCTTAGACTTTTACTTTCCTCTATAAAAGCAAATATTGTCCCTCAATACTCATTTGGGCCCAGTGAGGTGAGACTACCATGCTGGATCCTAGGAGGGGAAAATTAAGATGACAACACTTGGGTCCAAAAGAAAGAACAGGCAGGTACTGGGACAGGTGTGGCAGTGGGAAGAGCTGCCTTTCTTCCAGGGTTTGGGCTTGGACGGGAGCATGCGGCAGGAGGCAGTACCTGGAACTCCAACATGGTCTTCCCCAGGCTGGACTCCAGCATGTAGCGGTAGGCACCCACGCTGGTGCTAGGATCAGCTGCATCGCCCAGTGAGCCCTGGGGAAGAAACAGAGGGGAAACCATCTTGATGCCCATCCTCTAAGTGTCACAGATTGGTCCCCAGGCCACACAGTGAGCCCCCTTAATCTAAGTATCACAGATTGGTCACCTGGCCACATAGCAAGCCTTCTGTGCTTGGCCCAACCCTTATGGTTGTACAATCTATAACCAAGTTTCCAGCTCATTATGGTTAAAAACCTTAATCTCATCATGACTCAGAGTAGAGGGTAGTGTTGTCAGTTTGAATGTAGTTTTTGGTTATAATGCTGATTATTTACTTGCTGATAGGATAATTTTCCAAAAGCAGAAATTTCTGTGTTATACACACAGCTTTGTTGGCAGTGGCAACGTTCGTGTGACTGCCTTCATGGGTTATTAGAATCTTGAAACACTGGCTTTGCTCAACTGCAGAGATGAACCAGCACGATGATGTGCTGGGCCAGAAAGGACCCTTCTGCTGTAGAGCTGCCTGGGCTTCACTGCTGTCAGTCCTACCAGGAGCCATCATAACCTGCCAGTGCTTGATCTGGGACGTGGGTCTTGGTTCATCTATTTTCATCCCCTGGCCTCTTGATCTTTGGGAAACAAGGTGGGTGAGTGATGGCATAAATGGAAATCCTTCCAGCCTGGTTAGGAAGTGCTGTCAGCATAGCCCTGGACAGCACTTGGGGCTGTCCTTCTATCCCACATGAATGTGGGTTCCTAGGGGTGTGCAGCCATGACTTGACAGAGTGAACAAACAAGCTGCCCCCCAAGACAGGAGCAAATTTGTAGTTTTTGAATGAATAACATTAACACTGCTACAGAGATTTTTATGTTGGCTTTTTAAATTTTCCAGGGGAAATCCATCCAGGAACATGCGAACCATATATATTCGCTTCCTTAGAAGTTTCCATGAAAAAAATGATACATTTACTCTGAGGGCCCCTCCCTGCTCCTGGGCAAATTCTATACTTATATAAATCAGGCATTTTCCTAACTTCTCTTCCTCAAAGGCACTTGAAATTTATGTGGCAGGAAAACACAGGCTTTTCTTTTATCCTGGGACCAGACCTGGAACAGAACTCCCTACCTCCCTGCTGCTTAGGCACCTTTCTTCCCCTGCCCCTTCCCTATGTCTCTTCTAAGTGATAAGAGCATTTTTGAGGGGAGAAAGGTCACTGCCAGTCTGGTAATATTTCTTCCATTATTGGCAGCATCTCTAGAATGACAGAACCTTTCTAGTCAGATCAAGGGAAGTGAAGTAGGAAAGGTTCTGATGGGGCTGATCCATGCTGACATTCACCAGAGGTGGCAAGTCCTTCTGATGATACAAAGGCCTGTCCTTGGCATACAGGGCACCTGCCACATGTGAGGATCCAAGGCTTGTGGTTTGGAGGTGATGGGGATTAGGAGCACTAAACCTTTCTTTGATCAAATAATTCAATCCTGGATTGTTGGGGAAATGTCCTATCTAAATTTCTAAGGCAGATGCTCTTAATGCACTTTGCGTTTACTTGTGTCCACTACAGAAAATTTCAAAACTGTCTAGAAAAAGTAATTGATACCAACAGTTATAATTCTACTGGCTAACACACATTAGGTATGTGGTCTTTCCAATATCTAAACAGTGAGCATTTCCTTAAAAATATAGATGACTGGGGTCTACTCTGGGTAAAGAATCAGTGCTTCCAATAAGTGCTTCAGATGATTTTCATAGCCAGTCTAGTTTGGAAGCTTGGGGCTATTTATCACTGAATGAAGGTAGCATTCAGCCACCTGCATTCTCCAGCCCTGGGAAAGTGAGCCAGAACTCCTCTAAAAGCAAACATTCAGTTAAGTAAATTGAGGTGAATTGAATGATCTACCTTGATTCAAGGCTGGATTAGTTGTGACCCAGGGTGTGTAAAGAGTCTTATTGAGATGTGGACTGTGGTGTCAGCTCCAGCGTAAGTACTGTTTCTCCTATCAGTGATTTAATGGGTGAAAGTTGAGCCTGGGCAATTCTTTTTTTTTTTTTTTTATTGTAGGGGATTCTAGAAGGTACAAAGAACCAGTTACAATGATTCCGTTTGTTAGGTAAAGTCCCTCTTATAATTGTGTCCCGCCCCCAAAAGGTGTGTCACACACTGTGACCCCCGACCATCCTCCTTCCTTCCCTCTCTCTGTTTTCCCCTTCCTCTACCCCCACCGTGTACTAGGTCATTAATTGTCCTCATATCAGAATTGAGTACACAGGATTTTTGCTTCTCCATTCTAACTCCCATTTGATTCTGCAATCCCTTTACTGGGCATCTACCCAGGGGGGAAAAAAAATCCTTTTACCTTAAGGACACTTGCACTAGACTGTTTATTGCAGCTTAGTTTACAGTCGCTAAAATGTGGAGACAGCCTAAATGCCTTTAGGCCTGACCCAGGAATAGATTAACAAGCTGTGGTATATGCATACATGGAATAATATTCAGCCATTAAAAAGATGGAGAATTTAGATATTTTGTATTAACCTGGATGAAAGAGGAATATATAATTCTTAGTAAAGCATCACGAGCCTGGGCAATTCTTAAAATGCGAGTTTAGTCAGTTAGCATTTCCCCAGCCTCACAAGCCTCAGCCCACCCCTCCCTGGAGGGACTCACGCTGCTGGAGGTCACGGCCTCCTGAACACTTTCCATGATGAATTCCTGCGTGATCCTTCGTGAGGGTAGCTCATTGAAGAGGGAGTTGATTAGGGCCACTTTCGCTGCATCCCTTCGGGCCTCAGCTCTACTCAAGCAGCACTTGAGAGGAAAGGAGAAAAGAGATCATCAGGGACACATCTTGCATTTCACCCCTGCACCAGAGGGGCCCTGACAGGCCTGGGCGAGCTTGCCTGCTCCCTGCTCCTGTGCCCACTGCAATGTCCCTGAGGCTACGTGGATTTCCTCTCTGGTCTAGTGCCCTGCCCATGTCTTGGTGGGTTCTCAATTGCTATGCATCTTATTTCAGGCCTTGAATATCTGCTGGGTGTCAGAGGCTTCACATACAGTAAGGGCAAAAGTAATAACAGCTGCCATTGTGTGCTGGGCCTTCCTCAAATCCCTATTTCAGAGGAAAAACTATAAAAAGGAAAACAAAGAAATGAAGACCCCTATGACAGTGCTTCAGAGCACACATGCTGTCCGGTCTCAGCTCCAGCTCTGAGGTTTACTGGTTGTGAGATCTTGGACAGGTTAGTTAGTTTTGCTCAGCCTCAATTTCTGCCTCTATAAGATAGGAATAACAGCAGGTCAGGCTCAATAAGTTGATACAGATATAGCCCTAAGAAAGCCCAGCCAGCATCAGTCCCTGACGACAGCCAGGCAGTTATCATCTCCAAGTCAGTAGAAAGTAGCAGCTGCCTGGCCTGTTGTTCCTGCTTTTCCAGCATTTACCTCCTCCTTCCTTCTAGAGACACTCCTACTGTTTTCTTGGGGACTAGTGCTCTCCCTCACTCTCAGTCTGCAGTCTGGGCACAACATGCTACATCCACCTGCCCAATTCAGGGCCCACAGTCCACTAGGCCCCCAGTCTCCTCCCCATGGTCCACATAGCCCCCAGCCTCCCTCCTCATAGTCCACACAGCCCTCAGCCTGCATACCCACGGTCCACACAGCCCCCAGCCTGCTTCCCCACAGTCGACACACACCCCAGCTTCCCTCCCTATGGTCCACATGGCCCCCAGCCTCCCTCCCCATGGTCCACATGGCCCCCAGCCCACCTCCCCACAGTCCACACAACCTCACCCTCATGGTTTACCTGGCCCCCAGCATTTTTCCTCACGGGCCACATGCCTCCAGCCCCGCTCTCCAAGGTCCACACATGCCCTAGCTCACCTCCCCATGGTCCACATGGCTCCCTTCCCCCATACCCACGGTTTACATGGCCTCCAGCCCCACTCTCCATGGTCCACACCAACCCCAGCCAGCCTTTCCATGGTCTACACAGACCTAGGTGTTCAGGGCATCCTGATTCTTCTCTGTGCTACCTCTTTTTGAAACAGCAACACACCTGCTCTCCGAGGTCCAGCTGGGTGTGGACCCAGGCGTCCCATGAGGGTTGACACTCTGTGGGAACTGAACTGGAGTTCTCAGGAGAACTGGGGTGCAATGATCTCTCTCCTGCAGCCTCCTGTGGGCCTGGGGCTAAGTGTCCCAGGTCCTGGACACCTTGGGATAAAAACATCCCAGAAGGAGAAGCCCGGGCCAGGTCTGGGCAGTGGCTGGCCCAATGGGCTCTGCTGCTTGGGGGCTGAGAGCTCAGATGCCTGTACTTCAGCACCGATTTTGTCACTGGATATACCATGAGGCTGTGCTCCTCCTGCCTAAAATATGTGACTGTCAGAGCCAGGCAGGCTTGGTGACAGACAAGGCTTCACCCTATAGCTCACAGCCATGGGCCGATCCTCCAGTGTGCTCTGGGCCCTGGCCTGTCAGGAGCACACTCAGCATAGACCCCTCCTCCCTGCCTTCACAGCCAGCTAGAGTGCCCTTCAGACAAGCCCAGGTCCCCTGTGACTCCCCACACCATCCAGCACAGCGGTAGTCATGCACTGACGTGTCTTCAACTACGGGTTGTTGTTCCACCACCACCACCCCCCAACCTGCCACTAGCCTCCAAGCCCAGGAGGGGCCCCTTGTACCCAGTGCCTCAGCCAGGGGCTTGTTTTTATTTTTTTCAATATGCCCTGTTCCTAACTTTCAGAAGGATAACTGGCCTTTATATTCAGATACTCTGAGATGACCATTTTGCCTAAGTATAGTACATATTTATCATTGTTTGGAAAAGCAGTTCCCCATTAAAAAGCAAACTTGGTCTTTGCAAGTATTACCTGACCTCTATAGGAGCAGCTCATTTTAATAAGGATTTGGCTTTATGAAATCTAAAATATTGCTTGTGGGGTATAGAACTTACAGAATTAGATTCAGATTCCGCACTCTATAGAAAAAACTTCTATCTAAATAATAGGAATTTAAACCATCTTTCGTAGAAAGAAACTAGTAAACACTACTTGGATAAAAGAAACTATCTATTTTAACTAAGACCAGCTAAGTACTAGATCAAAAGCACCACATACATTTACAGCTAAACGGTGCTGCCTGAAGATCAAAGAGCGGTTGCCTGGCTAGTGGGTGGAGCCTCCCCTAGCAGGAAGGAGGGCTATGCAGAGGCAGTAGCAGACACAGCTAGTACTGAGTGTCAACAGACACATGTCTTTACTTATTTCATTGTTTCAATGTGCAGAATCTTTGCTTAAAATGGGGAGGAAAGTGTGCCAATTAATAAGCACATAAAATAAAATAAATTCTGAGCATCAAATGGCTTTTCTTGGTATTGTTCTTTACATTTCTGAAAGACAAATACTTCAAAATATCTCATGTTCACCAGCCACTTTCTTCTAAACTCTGAAACTACAAAACCAAACCAATAAGGACTGCCTGTGTTTCTTTAGGGATTATTTTACTTTAACAGGACGTCTCAGCCCATAGGAGCTGGTACTTGGAGAAAAATTGAGCCAAGCAGCCTGAGTGGCACATCTAGGTCAGAGCCGACACTGCTGCCTGGGCCCTGGTGGAGCCAGCATCAAACAACAGGGACACTGAGGACATAAAACTTGGTAAGGGACAGAATATTTTACCATTGAGTCCAGACCCGTCGTCAAAGACATCAGTTAGGGAGCAAGTGAAGTCTGACGTTATTTCAAAGCAACTTCTGGCTAACATTGGCCTTCCCAGGGCATATGATTTATTCCTACTGCTCTTTCAGCCAGACCCCAATCATAAATACAGATTTGTAAACTATGTCTTTTCTTCTCACTACTCTTACTTGTTAATGTGGAGAGACAACTTCTGTTCTTTGTACTCTGAAAGTACAGAGCTGGAATCAAAGTCACTGTGAACTTCTCAGGCCCATGGAGCCATGTGCTCTTCCAGTGGGCAACAGACCCATGCAGGCTCATCTGGACAATCACATACCTTTCATCTGCTGCTTATAAACCACTAAAAGCAACTCAAAACTTCCTGGCTCTAATCTGAAATTAAAGCAAAAAAACAAAAAAGTGCTGACTGTAGAATTGCTCAGCGATGCTCCTTAAAGACAGGGTTGCAGCCCATAAGAAGCCCTGGTGACCTGCCTCTTGCACTCACACCCTCCTGTCCTCCCCTCATGGCAGGAAGGTTGGAGAGGTGAACCTTCAGGGTGAACCCACAGGGTGGGCAGAAATGATGTCTTGTCATTTCCTATATGAGATTATGTGAGGCACTGTGGCTGCCCACATGGTCTGACTGGCCATCTCCCCTAGATCTCTTGCCCTGGTACAAGTCAGCTGCCATGTCGTGAGTCCTGTGGAAACACACATGGGCAGGGGCTAATGGCCTCTCCCAATAGCTGTCTGCACTAGGGTGGAAGCTGCAGGACCTGGTCCAGCCTTCTGATGACTGAAACTCCTGCTTCAGAGAAACCTCCTTCTGGGACGCTCTGAGCCCAAACCACCCACCTGAGCTGCTCTCAGAATCCTGATCCTCAGACCCCATTGGAGACAGTGAACATCTGTGGGCTTTGAGACGATTTGTGATACAGCAGCAGGGCCAGCTGGTGCAGACGCTGTGTTTCCTGCAAGTCGCCAGAGCACCTTTGAGAGGGAACTCGGGGGTGATTCTCATTGCTGACACTATCTGCTTGTGTTGTGCTAAGTGTTTTATGTTTATTATTACATTTTTTAATTACGACAGTCCTATGAAGTTGGTTTAGTTATCCTTATTTTGCAGGTAGGGAAACAGGCTTAAAGAGGTTATCCCAAGATCATGCAACTTAAACAGTAAACAAAATAAGATTGATAGGTCTGTCTGATTTCAGAATACAAATTTTCAACCACTTTGCTATTTTACTCTTCATAGAGATGGTCACCCTCTTTGGAACAGAGAGGATATATGATCTGGCTAAGGTCATGTAGCTTTCCCTAAATCATCATTGTATTTTACTCAGGCTTTCAACTTGATATTTCTAGAGGTCATTTGGATTCCAAGAACATCTCCTCCCCTCCCTGCATACAAACCTAACTTCATTTAGAAGACAATGAGGGGCTCAGTGCCTGTAGCTTAGTGGTTACAGTGCCAGCCACATACACCAGGGCTGATGGGTTTGAACCCAGCCAGGGCTTGCTAACCAACAATGATGACAATAACAACAATAAGACTAACACCAAAAAAAAAAAAAAAAAAACCAACTGGGTGTTGTGGTGGGCACCTGTAGTCCCAGCTACTTGGGAGGCTAAGGCAAGAGAATCACTTAAGCCCAAGAGCTTGAGGTTGCTGTGAGCTGTGACACCACGGGCACTCTACCGAGGGGCAATATAGTGAGACTCTGTCTCAAAAAAAAAAAAAAAATAGAAGACAAGGAGAATGTTGTACACTGTGGAAATAACCTGTGCTCATGGGAGAGGGAATGTTCTGGTCATTAACCAAATATCCTCTTTCCTCCTAGTGTTCTCCTTTCTCTTGTCTTTCCTAGACTACAGGAGAAGGGAAACGTGACAAGAATGGCAGCTGTGAACAGATCGGAAGTCAGATGTTTTGAGTGCCCTCTTGATTAAACATGGGCACAAGAGGTTTTGGAATTCTACCACATAAGACTGCTCAATCACTTTAAGAAAATATGGTAACTCTTCAAGAGTAAAAATTGTTTTAAATAAACTTCCTCAGCTCTACGGAAAAAGAAATTTCCTCCAAGATCAGCTTATTCTGGCACTGTATTTTCTTTTGGA